GGTCGTTTTTTTCGTCGAAAAACGCCTTACTATACATGGTCATTTTTTTTGTCTAAAAATGCCTTACTATACATGGTCGTTTTTTTCGTCTAAAAACGCCTTACTATACATGGTCGTTTTTTTCGTCTAAAAACGCCTTACTATACATGGTCGTTTTTTTTGTCTAAAAATGCCTTACTATACATGGTCGTTTTTTTCGTCTAAAAACGCCTTACTATACATGGTCTTTTTTTTCTCAGCTAAAAACGCCTTACTATACATGGTCGCTTTTTTCGGCTAAAAACGGCTTACTGTACATTTTCGTATTTTTGCTGTAAAAAAACTGACAATACATGGTCTTATTTTAATGTAAAACACGCCTTATATACATATATACATGGTTGTTTTTTAAAGTAAAAAAAAAACACCTTACTCAATAAAATCTCATGTCATCATGAAATATCAATGAATACGGTTTCAGAAATTCAAAATATAGTTCCATCTCCTCCCTTGAGAACCTAGATCACATCGAATTATGTACCGGTATATATTCCGTTGAAAAAAAAAAAAAAAACATTCACATGAAACCATCCTGAAAGCAACGTCACAGAGAGCAGCTGCAGTAAAGTGTCGGTAGCTATTTATTTACACGTGACACAAACAAAATGAAAGTTAACAATTCTAGATCAAAACAGTCCATGAGAAAAATACTCAATATTACCCCTACACAATTTCTCCAATTCGAACGTAAAATCTCACCGGAGTCTAAATATACAGTAATGAGAGGGTGAAATTCATTCACACACATTTTCCATGTAGGCTCAATGTCCTGTTAGCATGTGAAACCAGTCCAAAAAAAAATAAAAAAATAAAAAAAAAAACAACAACAAATGCACCTCCTGGCTCCGTCATGGGCATCGGGTATTGCAAGGATCGCCCGATGCAAAAAGGCTGTACACGCTGACCATGGGGAACATGGCGACGGCGCCCAGCAGGGAGCCCAGCTGCACCACAGCCCCGCACCACACCAAGGCGCAGTGGCCCTCGTCGCGCAGGATCACGCCGATGATCACCTTGACGTAGGACAGAGTGAGGACCATGACGATCCACGCCAGCACCTGCAGCGTGTGAGTAAATGCGAGGCAGCCCGTTAAACAAAGTCGTCCCTCAACCGGGAAAATGTTTCCTCAGCTCACCATGACGACGACGCCCCAGACGGTGTTCACCAACAACGGGCACGGACTCAGGGCAGCCATGCTCATTATAAAAGCCCCCACGCCACTGCCCAGCAATGTGAGCGCCCCCATCAGCCACAAGGATCTGGTTACAAATGAGACATCGTTTGCATGTTTTCATTTTTCGCCGTTTTAAACACTCACATCTGTGGTTTGTAAAAAAAAAATAAATAAATACTCCGAGGATCAAGAATGACAGTTCTGACCGACTTGCCTTATTGGAAAAAACATGGCGATGAAGCAGGCCAGAGGATTGGACACCGCCGCCATGGTGGCGGACAGGTGGTAGGCTTTGTTTCCGTACGGCATGCACGAGTACGACTGCACCGACGGAAGCACGGCGTTGGTGAGAGCGTTGACCCACGCCAGGATCACGAAGATGTACGACACTTGAATCCAGCTGTAAGTCCCAACCCCAAAACTGCTCTTCTCTCTTGAGGGTCTGTATGGCTTCACCATGGGCCTCTTCTCCACCCAGTTCTTCTCCTGGACCCCACTGGTGTAGTGGCTTTTGGTCGTCTCCCGGGCAACGGCGGGGTGACGGTTGAGCAGAAAAAACACCACCAGGCACACCAGCATCATGGCACTCAGGAAGAAGAAGAACACCTCGGCTGAAAAGTTGGCCGGCTGCATCTGAGCCCGAAGCGTCGGAAACTCATCGGTGGCGTTTTGGCTGCGGGTCCCGTTGATGCAATGGATCACACCCACGCCCTGGACGAGCGCCACGACAGCCGGCAGAAGGCCGCTCATGCCCTCGCCGATATAGTAGGTGGTGAGGTACTGGGGCTCGAGGCGCATCATGAAGGGAAGGAAGGTAACCGAGGAGGTGCAGTCGACGGCGGCCAGGAAGAAGGTGAGGACGAGTAACGCCACGCTGCGGGGTGACCCCGCCACCACAAGCGTCTCCTTCCAGAAGAAAGCCAACAGGAAACTGGCCACCACGCCCAGGGCGATGACGACGTAAATGACCGCCGTCTCGTTGAGGGCTCCCGGTCGGAAGCGGTGCATCAGGGTGACCAGGAGCGGGCCGATGTTGGCCATCTGGATGAGAACCGAGAGGTACGAAGGGAGGTACCAGCCCTCCGGAATCTGGGGGACGATCAATGGAAGCTCCACCCACAGACCACTGATGGACACCCAGGAGCCCAGACCGAAGAGGCACGCCAACAGGTGGGTGAGCGCAGACATGGTCGAGGTTCTTTTCTAGAAGGGACAAAGTTCAGGGTTGGTCGTCCGAGATTAACCTCGTTGACACTAAAATCCTAGACCAGAGGTGTCAAACTCATTTTTGTCACGGGCCACATTGTAGTTACGGGTTGCCTTGGAGGGCCGTTATGAATTCTGGGAAACCATATACCGTATTGGCCCGAATATAAGACGGCCCTGATTATAAGACGACCCCCTCTTTTTCAAGACTCAAGTTTGAAAAAAGACTTTTTGAACACCAAATTAATTTTTATACAGAAAATAATGACAGTGCATCTGAAACCAATGATTAGAACAATATATTTGAGAGGAAAAGCATGTTATTTTGCCTCATTCAAATCTAAAGTGCAATCACATTCGTAAATGAATGGCTTCTGGTTTTTGAAATGTAAATTACATCATAACTTCTCCTCAGCTACCGGTTAACCTGGCTGATCTTCGACCCACTTTTCTCCAGATTGTCTCTACGATTGTCCATTTTCTGTTCTGTCTCCTATTATTTTCTTCTCTTTTCCTTCTTACCGCTATTTTTTTGTTTTTCTTCTTCGTGCTGCCGCTATTTTTATTTTTATTCTTCGTGACAGGGGTTTCGCTTCAGCCTGGGGGAGTCAAGTTCAGCATTCGCTTCAATGATATCTGGCGCCACCTAGCGTCGTGAATGGGTATAATGTCTAGACCCCGAATATAAGACGACCCCCACTTTTTCAGTCTTATTTCAATGCAAAAAAACACTGTCTTATATTCGGCCCAATACAGTAAATGTTTAATCACCTCCACGTATTACATACACAGCACACAACAAATTGATGAATAACTACTTTTAAAACCAGAAGTCAAGAACAATAACTGTTATTGTGGATTACATATGACAATTTGAAATGTTGGTTCAGACTGTAGCATGCATCATTGAACTTGACATGCTTAATTTGCTTTTGCGGGCCACATAAAATGATGTGGCGGGCCAGATCTGGCCCCCGGGCCTTGACTTTGACACCTGTGTCCTAGACCAGGGTCATCAAGTCCTCTGTAAGTGCAGTACAGTACTGCTGACGTCGAGTAGCATAAAAAAAAAAAAAATCAATGAAAAAAAAAGTTGCAAATTAATGTGTTACCTGCGGCGGGGAAGCGTCTTGATGTCAACTTTGCGACAGTCGTCGTACAGGGTTAATCTTTACTTCGTTATCTGGTCCTGCGATGAGGGGGGTGAGGAAAAGAACAATTTGGAAATCATTAAAATAAAGGAATGTTGCGCACGCACGTGTCTCGCCAGTCAAGTCTTGAGTTCGCATCAACAATGCTGCAAGGCTATTATATAAAGTGGGACTGACTGGTTTGTTTATTATTGTTAAGGAGGCTTTACAAGACTTGAGAGGATCAGGATCAAACTTGGCCGGGGTGGACTCGAGACATTCCTGCCTCCCCACCGAGTCCCAGATGCTCAGGCTAAGACATCACAACTGCACTTGGCATCATTCATATTTTTTTTTAACAATTCTTTATCATTAAAACAACTACATTTTATTCAAGCCAGTCAGGGTCGGTACAATTGAGCCGCAGCCATTCATAAAATCAAAAAGCAACATTGCTGATCCTCCTCGCCCCCGCCCACAATCAAAAAAGTGACAACAATGAAAAGAATCACTAAGTGTTAGCGGAGCAACAAAAACACTTGACTACACATGCATGCATGAAACCATTATTTAAAAAAAAAAAAGTCAAACATGTATACTCACAAATACTCGGGATGGAGTGTTCGGAGCGACTGACTGCAGCCCAACGTCCAGGATTAAGACCGACCCTCCTCGCCGAGGGCGGGCGCGCTCGTGTTCACGTTCAACCAGCCGTGCCACGTGCTGATTTTTGCTGATCGCAATGTTTTCAAGAGCGGGTCCGTCTGACACCTCGGTGGGGGGGGTTGGGATCACATGTTGTCGTTTGGCACCATTTTGCCTGCAAGCTGTGTTTTTTTTTTTTTTTAAATGATGAGACGCAAGTTGGACTTGCTTGCGGGTTTGTAACTGGCCACTTCATCAAAGACAATAAATGTCTACATCAATTCCAAAGGATGTTTTTTTTTTTTTAATGTGTTATTGATAAATTAATTCATTTAGTACCAGCCAATTCTAGACCAAGTCTGAAAAGACGTTTAAAAACGTCTTTGGGAGTGAATGAGTTCAATAAGACACCGTTACACCGTACATTAAATAAAACATGTTTTATCACATGAGTTGTCATTCATACTAAATAGTCATCTATTTTTATTAATCAACATTGTTTTCCCGAATGAAAAGTATGACAGCGTATGATTAAACAAGTAAAATGAAATAACAAAAACCAAAACTCCTCACCTCAATGAGACTCCTGGTCTCTGAGGTTTAGTAAATGCAGGGAATACTTCATTCAAAATGCAGATTAAGAGGGCTCCACTTCCAGCGTTTATAAAAAGTCCACACACTCGTGTTTTAGCGGCAGGTTTTCTGTGACCGCTAAACATAAAACGCATGAGCAGTGTTGCTTATGCGCCAAACATTCTTTTTTTTTTGAAAAGGACGGCCATAAACTTGAACCTTGTTTTCTTCGGACCGTAAAGCAATCAGCGTCGCTATGAAAACAGTCCAGCTTTTGCGAGAACGCAAACAAAAGGACAGGAAAAGCCCACTAAAACAACTCAACGTTATTTGAGGTGAGTCAGAGGCACGTTACGGTCAATGTTGGCAATGTCGTGAATAGATAGAACACTTTTGTTTTTTTATTGAGTTGGAACTTGTATATGTCAGGCACATGAATGTTAAAAAAAAGTGTTTTTTTTTTTAAAATATGTCACAAAATCCTGCCATTTCAACAAAGGTGTGTAGACTTTTGGTATGTTCCCCTGACTTTGGTGTGCGACAACAAAAGAGCAAAACACACACACACACACGCACGCACGCACGCACGCACGCACACACACACACACACACACACACACACACACACACACACACACACACACACACACACGGCAGCCATGTGATGCTCCACATGACAGGCGCATACGAAGGCAAACAAGAGTTCAATTGATGAAAACGGCGACAACTCAAGCATCCTTTTTGCAAGAGGTCCTACTCGCACCCAAGATCCTGACACGCTCTCAACGTTGGCTTCGGCGAACAAGTTCCGAACTGGTTTGCGTCTTTTGCATTTTTTTTGGGAATCAAATTCAACACTGAAAATGACAAAAGCCTCACAGTCACTTCTTTGAAAACTTGTGATCGAAGCGTGTACTCAACACTGGCGGCTGCGGGTTTTAATTCCTCAAGCTTGTTTTTTTGTTTTTTGTTTTTTTTTGGGCGTCCGGTTTGTAATGGCTTGCTTGAACCAGGTGCCTGCTGCGCGCTGCAAAATGCGAGTTGGTTATCGGATCTCTTGGTGTGGTCCAGAATAAATTCGCATTCACTTTTCCACGCCGGCTCAAAAGCCCCCCCCCCTATCATCCGAATTCATTCCAATCAACGGTGATTTAAAAACAAAAAGCCACAATTCCTACTTTGACGTTAAAGCAGCGCAACAAGGAGCGGGTCTTTTGTGTAAACAAAGATGGCAGGAAGTCATTAGGAAGGATGGCGAAATATTGAAGCGATTAGTGCAGACTGAAAGGGCGACTCACTGAGGAGATGTTTGTGTTGTTCTGTCCTTGGGGAAATAGTGTCACATGGTCCAAGTGTAAAAAAAAAAACAGGTTCAATTCCCGGCGCACAAAGAGCCCCTCGGCCAGCGTGCGGCAAAACAACACTCCCACTGTCATCGACCAGTTTGGACTGCGTCATGCTTCAGAAGCAAGTGATGCTTCTATTGCTTCTATGGGAGCTGTGTGTTAAAGGTGTAAAAATAGAAAAAGGGAGGGGGGGGGGGTTCTTATCTGGCTTCAGCTGCACCCGTCGACGCAGTCCTGCCCCCGCTTGAAGACGTTGTAGACGTTGACCAGCGGGAACATGGCGAGCGCGCCCAGCAGTGAGCCGGCTTGAATGGAGATGCCGCACCAGAGCAGGCCGGCGTGGCCCGCCTCGTGCAGGAGCGTGCCAATCACCACCTTCAGGTAGGAGAAGAGCCCCGTGAACATGATCCAGGAAGCCACCTGCAAAGGGAGCCAGGCGGCGGTTTACTCATTTGCGCGGAGGATTGCCGTGTTTCACGACTTTTCCCCAAAATTCATTTGACACTTTGGAACGGCGCTTTGTGCACAGCGGCGGTTGTTTTTCGAGTGCTCTATAAATACAGTTTTTGTTTTTTTAAACAGACAACTTGGCTGCGAACGTGACACGTAACAATCCCACTTTAAAATGTTGCCTGGAACGCAAGGCTTTTCCGTTCTGTGGTGTCTCAGTCTAAACGCTAGGGGGCACTATCTGAATAGAGTACATGCATTAAGATAGGAGAGGAGGCAAAGGAGAGACAAAGAAGAGGACAGCCTCGATGAACGACAAAATAAAAGTGAGAAAAATAAATAAATAAAAGACTTCTTGGGAATCCTTCAAGTTAGACAATCAAATTGCGGCGGGGCAACTTCAGTCATGTTTTAGGTCTTAAGTCAGGGGTGTCAAACTTATTTCACATTGTGGGCCGCATACGGCCTCGGGAGATGTCAAGTGGGCCGGACCATTAAAATGATACCATACTCTGCTATAAATAACCAAAATAATATGTCTTTACTTTGTTTTGGTCAAAAGAAGCACAACAACATTAGGAAAATGTTGTAATTGACTGAACATATCTTTTACAAAACATTTCATGAAGCACCTCAGATTTCCTTCGACAAATGTGCAATTGACTTTTATCATTCACATATATGCATTGCAACTGATCCCACTGATTGTGACATAGGCACAAAACTTTAACAAGTAATTGGTATTGAAAAATATAGTCATGCACTTTTAAGATGAAACGAGATTTATAAAGAAAGGAATTTCGAAACCATTTACACATGTGCATATAAAATTACATTTATTCCCTGCCTACCTACACCTTACAAACTAAGGAGAGTGCTATTAAATGTGTAAAGAATAAAATATTTCATAACTTTGCTGCTGTGAATTGGGAATTTCTCCATTGCAAGACTAATAAAGGTTTTCTTATCTTATATTCACGTCCTTGACAGCGTCTGCTGGGTTGGGTCTGTCTCATTGACGGAGACTGCTGTTGTCTTCTACTCTGATCAAAACAGTGTGTCCTCCTAGCGGATACTCCACGAATTGCACCTTATTAAAAAATATTCATACCGTGTCTTTTATGCTTTTCACTTTTAAATTATCCTGCGGGCCTGATCGAACATCCTCGGGGACCGATTCCGGCCCACGTGCCATATGTTTGAAACCCCTGTCTTCAGTGGTCACCTACAATTACCTTTAAGTCTCTCCACATCACCGGGTGCAGTATCAGAACTTTTTTTTTTTTTTTTTGGGGCGGCACTCCGAGTATGAGGACAGAAAAAATATCAGCACCAATACAGAATATTATTCGCCGAAGATTTCAAGATTAAAACCTGGATACTCACCACTAAAACTACACCAGTGGTGGTCCCCTGCAGAGGAGGACACGGACTGCGGGAAGCCAGAACCATCAGGTATGCCGCAAAGGCCCCTCCTGCCAAGGACAAGACGCCCAGACGCGTAGAGGACCTGCAAGGCCAAAGCAAAATCGTTAGCTCAGAATCCCCATTTTGGATTTGGAGGGTCGGGATCAGACGGGTTGGGGCGCACGACAAGCTGTCCGTAGTCGGCTGTCACCTGCCCGTCTCACCTCAGGATCACAAACATGGCGAGGAAGCAGGCCAGCGGGTTGGCGATGTTGCCGAGGACCACCGAGAGGTGGAAGGTCATGGTGCCGTAAGGCAAACAGGTGAAGCTCTGGACGGACGGCAGGACGCCGTTGGTGAGCGCGTTGGAGACCGCGAGGAGCGCCAGGAGGTAGACGTTGTGCAGCGTCCAAAACGTCGGCGCGGGTGGCGACGGCGCCTCCTCCGGACGCGCCTCCTCCTGAGACGCCGCCGAGCTGCCGTTGTTGAGTGGGCGCATCTCGTCATCGCTTTTAACCGCTGCGTCCAGGGTGCCTAAACCTTTCAAAAGGTGAAATGGCAAACTTTTTACAAACCATAACTCCCAGAATTATCCGCACAACAAAATCTGATAATCCACAGTAAAATACGGAGTGAATGGCTTACGGTAAATAAATCCACTACAGCACAGGTGTCAAAGTCAAGGCCCGGGGGCCAGATCTGGCCCGCCACATCATTTTATGTGGCCCGCAAAGTCAAATTAAGCATGTCAAGTTCCATGATACTTGCTGAAGTCTGAACTAAAATTTCAAATTGTCATGTGTAATCCGCAATAGCAGTCATTCTTAACTTTTGATTTTAAAACTAGTTCTCCATCAATTTGTTGTGCGCTGTGTATGTAATATGTGGAGGTGATTAAACATTTCTATGGTTTCCCAAAATTCATAGCGGCCCTCCAAGGCAAACCGTAACTACAATGTGGCCCGCGACAAAAAATGAGTTTGACACCCCTGCATTACATCAATCCTCCACTCATTCAATTGTTATCATCTCCCCTGTTATTTGCGGAAAAATATCTGGCATACTTTGAATGATGCCTTAAGATCATAAGTTGAGTCACAAGTTGGGGCAAAAGATCAGCTAATAAGTAGCAAGGAAAGTAGCAATTGGGATCAAGGGAACAAAGTTCAAGTGACACATCGGTGTTTAAAATCCTTGGATATTGGGGAGGAGCCAAGTTTAGCTTGGGTTGTTAGCAGACATTGCAGAGTCTTCACCCCATGAGCATTTCTTTTTTTTTTCTGTTGAAATGTTATTGAAGAGGAATTAGAGGGTGGGGCACTTGCTTGTTAAAGTAGTCCTGTATATTTAAGGTTTTAACTATTAATATTAGCAAGTACAAAC